GAGACTGTTTGGTAAAGGTTTGATGCAAAGCGAGTTAACGTGTGAAGTCTGGTCCGTGGTAGCGGGAAATACAGAGCTTTTGGTGGTTGTGTTCTGGTTTCCATGTACTTATCGCCACGGCGTCAGAGCGAAGCACCGGGAACTGCTCTGCATGTGTGTTTGCCTGCTGTGCCAGTAATAAATCTTCAGTGAGCCACCGTGTCCTCAGGGCGTTCAAGGTGACGTGGAGTTTGTTCTAGGGAAGCCACGTGTCACCAACCCTCACTGGGAGCCGCTGGCTCTCAGTGGCAGGGTCTCACTCTTGGGTCCTGTGGGTCCCTGTTGTAACGTCTCTCTGGGTGCACAGAGGAGGCCTGGTGGAGCCTGGGAGACCGGGGGACCGGTCGGCTTCGTCATCCGTGTAGCGTGATGGTGCTGCAGAACGCTGGGAGTGGACTGAGACCACCCGCCAGCTCTTCCTCATGCAGACTCTGAAAATCGGGTTTCTAGTTGGCTCAGGACTGCTCTCTGTGGTGCAGCATAAATCCGTTTCCGTGTGACTTCGGCAAGGGAGCGCTTCTGCATGAAGGAAATGTTGTGTCGCCTGCTGTGAAGGAATTTTTCCTGAAATGCAGCATCCTAGAGCGCGATGGACATTTTTCAACGTGTGGGCAGAGTTCCAACCTGACAAGTGTGGCCTGATCTTCGCCACACTCACAGCTGTGTTGCCTGTGAAGCTCGGCTCTAACAGGAAATCAGGTGGAAGGGGCTTTGTTTGGGGTTCAGGAGACCCAGCGAACTCGGGCCCCCCACCCCGAGCCCCGTCTCACCAGTCTTCGGAGAGTGGTTTGGAGCCTGGGGCCTGGCATCACGCGCCGGGTCCGCCTCTTCACGAGCTGTCTCGTCTTGGACACTTGTTTTTTAGCCTACCCGAGCCATGGCTTCATCATCTTTAGCGGGGAGGTCATACTACCGTCTCCCTCACAGTGCCGTCAGGAAACTCGCGTGAGGGGTCAGAGCCACACGCTTAGCACACAGCAGGTGCCCGACAGAAGGCGCTGGCTCTTCACTCGTCACTGTGGCAGTCTCGCCATGTCGACCCACCACGATTTGTTTGCTCGTGCGGGTTTTACATGACCCACCTCCTTCAAGTCGGGGATTGTTTCTCGGAGTTCACGGAATGTACCGCAGAGCTGGGCCCCAGATACACGGTTGGTCAACATCTGGGGTGTGAACCAGTCAGGGCAGGAGTGGAGTGTCTGATCATCGTGGTACAACGAACAGCATGAACGTGCCGTCTCTACCACCGCGGGTGTGCAGCCCCGGGGTAGTGAGCGCACTCCCGGGCTTGCGCCCCCGTCACCACCCTCCACCCCCCCGAGTCTCTCTCACCAGTAAACAGAACTTCCATCTCCTTCTCCCCAAGCCCCCGGCAACCACCAATATACTTCCCGTGTCTGTGATTCTGACTTCTCCAGGGGCCTCCTGTAAACGGAATTGTGCAGTATGTATCGTTTTGTGCCTGGCTTGTGTTACATAGCATAATGGCCCCAAGTTCACCCCCCGTGGCAGCAGATGCCAGAATCTCCTTCCTTTTTAGGGCTGAATGATCCACCATGGTGTGTACATACCCCCTTGTGTTTATTCATTCCTCCGCTGGTGGACACTCGGGTTGCTATTAGGAGGAGTGTTACTTAAACATTAGTAACATTCTGATTGTATTTCTCCACTCAGAGTGCTCACTGGCTCAATGACTCACTCTTGTCACTTTGTTTTTAAATGTGATCATCTCTCTTACCAACCTGGCGATGTCCTCGTGCAAACGCTGCCCTCTCCGGCCCACAGGACACCTGTACCCGCTCCCAGCTCTGCCCCCACGTGGCCTTTGTCGTGATGTCGTGGGAATCCCTCTTCCTCCGATGCCTGCGGGTTTCATATCTCACAGACCGTCTGAAGTATTTCCGGGCGTTCTCTGGAGGGCAGTTTTGCTGTCGGTTCATGCCTGCCAGTCTTTATTTGTCATTTTAGGGCAGTTGCCAAGGTCCTGAGGGGCAGGATTGTTATCTTGGCCTCTGTGTGTGTCCCTTCCTCCCGCCCAGCACCCGGGGCCGGGCCCGGAAGGGCGCTCCTTCTGCCCCCATCAGTTCAGTCTGCACAGAGCCTGCTGCGGGTCACCCCAGGTGAAAGGGGCCCACAGGGCAGCGTCATTTAGAGACCTCCTGGTACGTTACTAGAAACAGGGTACGGAGTAGTGCCCTGTGGTGCCTGTCTTGTCCCCCACCACCACCAGGGGTGTTTGTGGGGGTCGAGGGTGGGTACCACCTGGAGGGGATGGGCCAGGTAGGAGCTTAGAAAGGATTATTCTGTTTGTTCATTGACTGATTCAACTTGTGCTTGTTTGAATGCAAATGTGTGTGTGTGTACACACAAGATTTGACCGGTGTACTTTTAAAAAAAACTTGTAAATACGTTAATGACAAGCAGTGGCTAATCACCTTAATTAGTAGATGTACAAAGTAAAGTTTTTATAAATCGGATGTAAAGTAGTAAAATATAGAAATGCATAAACAATGAAATGTCTCATAATCTTGCAACAGCAGGTAAAAACGGGAGTGTAAAAACCCGACTCGTGTATGCTGTGTTAGTGTTGCATACACAGTTTTCAATAAGAGTCAGTGCTCTCATTCTGGCTGGTGTGGCTCAGTGGGTTGAGCACAGGCCTGCAAACTGAAAGAATTGGTTCTTTATACGAGTCTAAGATTGCAGTGTTGACTAGCGCCAGACTCTGTAGGCACTGCGGGGAACACGAAAATGAGTGGCAGCCGCGACTTGTCCCCAGGTTACATTGAGGTGGCACAACCTGCATCTAAACAACTATAAATGTACCTTCGGGGGGCTCCGGTGAAGCGCGAGACGTCTTCAGGTGCCGAGAGATGTCTGTTATCCAGGAGGCTCGCAGAGTTTAACCAAGCAGGTGGAATTTGAGTGGTGTCTTGACAAGAACATATGTGAAGGTTTTGGAGGAACTGAGAGAAGGCACTCAAAGGTTTAGCAGAAGTCCCGCGGACGACAAGGTATGCGTTACACCAGGTTGGCCCTGGTGTTCAAAGGTTTATTCCGCAGCAATCAGAACTGAAATACGGTCCTTTTCTGTTTTGTTCCTGGAAAAGCCAGGGGACCTGGTCACTGACTCACAGTCATCTGGGAGTTGGCCTGCACTCGTCTGTGCTCGCCGCCCAGAAAGAGCCAGCGGGTCTTGCTCAGACAGCGGCTACACTCGGCCCCATCCACAGACCCATCCTTGCAGAGGAGCAGCGAGCTGCCTCGCCTGGAAGAGGCAGAGTGTAGCTGCTGGGAAGGCCCACCGTTTTCCTGAGTGGGTGGGCTTTCATTTCGGCAAATCTCTGAGATAGGTTTTCTTTTCTTTAATAAAATGTAGCTTTTGCTCCATAAACAGAGGATCCAGCTGCTTTGCCTTCTCTAGGGGTCCTGTGCTGGCTCCGAGGGGCCCTTCTCCCAGGACCCCTTACAGCCCAGCTTGGATACCGCTGCCAGAGACCTGGGAAACGGCCTCCGGGGCCCCCCACAGCTCCAGAGTGAGTCCCGTGCTTCCCCCGTTAGTGGCCTCTTCCCCCGACTTCCTAGGACTGGGGTCTGCCTCTGTGCTCAAGGCCCCTGCAGACCAGAGACTGTGCTCACTGTCTCCAGGCTCCGCCGTGCTCCTCTGATCCAGAAAGCTCGGTTTCCTGTGGTTTTGGGGTGTGTGTGTGTGTGTGTGTGTGTGTGTGCTGTATCCCGTTATTCTAGTTGTTCTCAGAAGATACCACTGGTTTGCTATAAGCTGCTTCATCAGCCAGAAGCAGTAGTTTATTTTCTTTGTATTGACACTGTTTTCTGGATAGTGTATTTGTGCAAAATTCAACCACCTGCCTCAGCGTCAGTGGGTAAGGGGCGGTTCTGTGGTTAGGCTGCCAGGACCGGTAGAGGTGCCCGGGTTCCTGAGTGTTTCATCTGCCCAACAACCCTGCCCTTCGACCTTCCGACCTTCTGACCTTCCGTTGCACATGCCTTGTTGCTTCCACTTTGGAACGGTACATGTTTATCGTAGTGAAGGCAACAGTTGGAGCAAGGCTTTGAGTGGATGGATGTTTTGATACAGACTAAAAAATTTAATAGTCTACCAATATTCAAATTTTATATTAAAAGGGGAGTACAATACTAGAAAACACAGTGAAACCTAAGCTTTAAAACTGTATTTATAAGAAAAAAGTATGGGAAAAAGCTATTACAAATGTCACGGTATGTTTCATATTTTACTTCTGTTTTGTCTTGACTAATAAGCATTGTTTAGACATGTCTTTTATGGATGATCATGGAAAAAATAAGACAGTGTGTTAGAAAGCTGGCCCTGTGGCCCTGGCTGTTGTAGCTCAGTGGATTGAGCGCAGGCCTGAGAACCAAAGGATCTCTGGTTTGATTCCCAGTCAGGGCACACACCTGGGTTGCAGACCAGTTCCCCAGTATGGGGTGTGCGAGAGGCAACCACACATTGATGTTTCACTCCCTCTCCTGCTCCCTCCCTTCCCCATCTCTCTAAAATAAATAAATAAAATCTTTAAAAAAATAAACTGATCCTGGCTGGTGTAGCTCAGTGGACTGAACACCAGCCTGTGAAGCAAAGGGTCACAGGTTCCATTCCCAGTCAGGGGACCCCTGGAGGGCCCAGTGGGGCACCTCGGAGAGTCCAGGGAATCCCCAAAATAGTGACGTTACTCAGGAGGACTGGAAGTATTGAGAAGTTCTTAGTCGTGTTTGCGATACTGAAGATATTTAATAAGAAATGAGACGGACACACTTCTCAGAGTGTGTCGACAACTGGTATCTTTAGAAAAGGAGAATAATTCAATCTATAACAGAACGCTTGTTGTACCTATTTGGTAAATCCTGCTTTCAATTTGTACGATGTCCACAAGACCGCTCATGTTTCATGGTAGTGTTAAAAAGCCTTCTTTTTCTTGCAGAATCACAGTGAAAGATTCGTCTTCATTGCAGAGTGGTTTGATCCAAACGCTTCCCTTTTCCGACGTTATGAGCTTCTGTATTACCCAGGGGACGGGTCTGTGGAGATGGTAAATGGTGGAGTCTGTCTTTGGGGGACAGTTGGCAAGGGGGCGACCCTGGGGCAAGGGGAACAACCGGGCTGCATTTTAGGTACGTACTTAGAAATACTTTTACACGGATATTTGTTAACGGGAATTCTTTGCCTGAAGTGGGGCTATGCAAGTTTTGGATTAAGCAATAGTCAATACGTGATAATAGGAAAAGATTATCCTGATCCTAAACACATCACCGTTATTAAAAGCTGTTGGCTCTTCACAGAACCACGTTGAAGATGATCGAGCTGAGTGTCCCTTTATTGGCGGCCTGTTTTATGGGTGCATCTGTTTGGTAGTGGGATTTTGGGTAGGCAGGAAGGCAGAAATCGGGCACACCTCTGGGATTTCAGAGGTGCTAATTTGCTGAAATGATTTGGCAGTAAGCAAATCTTTGCATTCAGGAATTTTAAAAAGTATCAAATTTGTAAGACTTTTTTATGTTATTACCGGAGTAGCCCAGGAAATAGAGAAGTTATAAAAGAAGTTATGATTTGCATTTACAGCAAAAACAAAACAGAATGCGGCCTATCTTCACTAAGGCAGAATTAAGAACTTTTTGTAGCTTATGGTGAGATTGTCGTCCCCTGCCCATAACCGTGTGTTTCACTGCAGTGTTGTTTGGCTTCCAGCACGACATGAAGAATCACCGCACCTTTTTAAAGCGGACCAAGTACGAGGGTCTGCACCTGGAAGATTTATTCATCGGCAACAAAGTGAACGTCTTTTCCCGACAGCTGGTGCTAATTGATTACGGGGATCAGTACACAGCCCGTCAGCTGGGCAGTCGGAAAGAAAAGTAAGAAAACAATCATATGTTTTTTTAATTCCGAAAACATTATGTCTTGGTACCAAATTCTAATTTTTTTTGTTTCTATCTTTAGATATTTAGCTATAACACCCAGTTCAGTGTTAGGACATTTTTAGCATTTTGCGGACCAGACTCTGTGACTTGCTCTTCTCTCCGCTTCCGCGGGAGCCAAGCCTTAGGCAGAGGTTATTTTCTGGAGGCAAAAATCACAGGCTTTTCTGCCCTCTCAGCAGTCATAGTGACAGGCATCGAACTGACCACCAAGTCTGTTTGAAACGGGAAAGTCCTGGTGTGGGGGGTAAACATGGCTTATGGGGAAAAGGTAGTGCCTTCAGCTGTAGACTCTCATGGGTAAGATCAGTACGGAACCTTTATTTATGTTGTCGTTGGTGTTTTTGTACATATTTTTACCATTTTATTGCTTTGCTGCTTTTTTTCTTATTTTGGTTAGTTGATATGTAGGTGTTCTCTAATTTTGGCGCATTGAAACGATGACTTTCACATGTTTTTCCCTAGGCTTTATTACTATTGTTAGGTTGGGTACCTTATTTTGATTTTCTTGGGAAAAATGTGAAGTTATCTTAGTGTGTAGAAGTTTTGAAGAGGCATCAGTACACGTGTCTCTGTCGCTGCTGGCGCTGCCCGGCGATGCAGACGATTAAAGAAACGAGACAGTGCTGGGGAGTCAGCAAAGTCTGCCGGGTCGTTCTTATTTTCAAACTTGTCCTTTATTTCTTCACAGAACATTAGCCCTGATTAAGCCAGATGCCGTTTCCAAAGCTGGAGAAATCATTGAAATAATAAACAAAGCCGGATTCACCATCACCAAGCTCAGAATGGCGCTGCTGTCCAGGTGGCTGGTAGCTCACTTTCAGTCCCTTAAAAAAAATCATCTTTTATCATTCATGTCATTGTTTACGATTTAAAAAGGCAACAGAATAGACTAGTAATCTAATCAGAGTGAGAAAATAAAAGAGGATTGGTAATCAGTGCCTGAACTCTGACCACGCCGTCGTCCGATCACACCTGCCTCCTTACCTGTATATTACCTGCCGAAACCCCATCTGCTTCATTCCTGACTCCAGGGCGTGGTCATTGTGTCCTCTCAGTATGTCGGTGTGACTCTGTATAAAAATGGTGGAAGGAGAACTAGATGTTGCCTTGTTTCCATCTGACATGAGAGTGTTACTGCCGAGCTTTTCAAAAGTGATGCCCTCGGAAATGTTCGGATTTAGCGCCTCCCCATATGCACAGTGGGAGGGTCTCCTGTTTACGGCTCTGGAACGCAGTCTGTTCTCTCTGATCTGGTGTTTTCTGAGTTACTCGGTGGAAATAAGACTTGCCTACAGTAGGGACCCTACTGCAGCCACAAGGCGGGGCTGGCTGCGGCCCCTGTCACCTGTTCTGTGTGTTTGTGGTCAGGCGTCTTCTCACTGCTGTCCCTGGGTCTCTAGTCCGTGGGGCCGCTGCTCTTCTCTCTCTGTGAGCAGTGGGACAAGATGGTCGATGTCGCTTCGGTAAGTTTGATCCCTAGAAACATCAACAAAACATCCTCAATGCAACCCCAACAATGACGTACATTTAATTTGGACGTTTCCCCTCTGGGAGATTGCCTGGTTTTATATCTTCTGGGAAGGCAGGAGGCTTATATTCCGGAGCACAGAGTCTAGAGGCAGTTTGCTTGTAACTGCGCCCTTTACTAGGTATGTGACACTGTGAACCGTTCACCTCTGTGCGTCAGTACAGACGCCTGTCAAAGGCTGGTCATGATGGCGCCTGGGCAGGAAGTTGTGAGGGTGATGGGAGTTGAGTATGTGTAAGGTGCTTTGAGAACGCCTGGCTCACAGTGAGTGTGTTCTCGTTGTTCACTGTTAGTAGTAGTAGTGGCAGTGGTAGTGATGCCATTATTATTCAGTGGAGACCAAGGCCATGACCTTTGTAAGTGGTTAACTTTGCCCCCTTGTTGTGTGTATGGAGAATGCTTGCTGTCAAAGCCGGCAGTGGCACTGAATTCTGGAGAGGTGTTTTTGAGTAGTTTTAGTGAGATGGAACGTGTTTTACATCCCTGCACTTCCACTGCCTGATAATTTGGCCTCAAACTTCCCGTGCTAGAGACGCCCAAGAAAACGTCATCTTTAATTGTTCATACCACCTATGCATCACTATTAGCATTACTGTCGAGTCTTGGGTTTGCCACAACTTAAAAGCTAAAGAACTAGCCTGTTACTCTTTCACAGGTGCTAGCAGAAGATGTGTGACTTCCGGGTCAGAGATGGGGGGACTGTTGTGGCACAGCACGCAGCACGTGGTTCTGCTCACCTCCTCCGTGTCCCCTTGAAAACGAGCATGTGGGCCCTGGTGGATGTTGTGTACACGATTGATTGCATCCCAGCTGACGGGCATTGAACTTGGGCTACCCATTGTTTCATTAGCAAGTGGTAAACAAGCCTGCTCTTTGTAGCAGAGAGAGACATGACCTCATCCCTCAAAGTTAATCTCCATAAACATCACTCGGAGGAATGGCGGGACACAGAGCAGCCAGGGCCTTGTGTTCTTGGCAGGTGCAGCAGGACATGTCAGGAGCACCAAGACCCTCATGTAGCACCTCCCAGCCCTTAAGTCTCTTCTAAACGTATCGGCTCCCAGGTCAGTTCCTCCATTAACATAGTGTGCTAAAGGCAGCCGCTGAGTTTCACCTGACTTCCTAGTTCTGGTTCCTGAATCAACTCTTTGGTTAAGGTAGGCACCAAGATAATATTTCCTGAAAGAATAAACGGCTAGATCTTTGTGAGGGAATGGTGCATTTCTTTATTAGAACAGCAACAAGACTTCTCGAAACGGCGATGCACTCCTTGTATCTCTTTCCATCTAAACGTTTAAAGGTGGAACCAGAGAAGAATGATGGGAGGAATTCCTCTCCACTCATCCTGGTTTCAGTTTCACATTTTGAGCAGAGGTAGCTGTGGGGCCGGTGGCATGTGAGGAGAGAACAGAGAAGCAGTCTCAGCAGTTCATGAAGATTTTTTAATCGATGAGAAAGAGTGCAGCTTTTCTCTTTTAGCAGCTCAGTTGTGCTGAAGAAGCAGAGCAGGCCATTTGGCAGCCTCGCCACCAGCTCCCCGGAATCGCTCCCCGCGCACATTTTCAGGCCCGAGTTTCGCTTCGTTTTAGGCTGTAATGCAGTGTGTCCATTTCATGTCTGTGAATTCTTCACCTTGCCCTCTAGAATTTTGTTTTCTGAGGGGGGTAGTACAAAGGGCATAAGGAAAAACATTTTTAAAAGGAGAGAGTTGAGCATGATATTTGGTAAAAAATCATTAATTCAAATACAGATGAAATAGAGGATTTCATTTCATTTTATTAATGCAAGCTAAAATATTTTTCTTATGTGTTAACTCTTGTCATTTTGATTGTTTTATAGGAAAGAAGCATCAGATTTTTATGTAGACCATCAGTCAAGACCCTTTTTAAAGTAGGTACCGAATTTGGGGCTAATGGTGTATAACGAAGAAAATCTTAGAAAACCAAAGAGTCGTAATTTTACAATTAAAAGTTTTGTTACATGAGAAGGATCTGTCCAAAGGACCACAGCAACATCTTGCAACTGCAGAGAAGTTTTGTCTAGGAATCCGTTTGTCTGTCCCTCTATTAGATCAGAATTCTTATCTCGTCATTAAATATCTTGAAAGCACAATCAGGAGCACACAGGATAATTTTAAATTATACGGAACACAGATATTTTTTTCGATTTCAGTAGGTTCAAAGTGGAGTGGTTATTTCATGTCGAATATTTATTTTTGCTATACTTCAAAGCAACTATTTCTAGCAATCTCATGTGTAAATCAATGTTCGTTGAGCCCTTCTATTTTCAATAATGCGATGTGCATTTTGTTCCTTGAAATATAGTAGAGGGTATATCTTAGAAACCTAATTCGTGTTCTGAACATTCGGGTGGTTTTTAAATTGAACTGCGCCTGTGCGGGCGGTGTCACTGTTGACAGGAGCGCTGCGTTTCTAACAGGGAGGGATGTCAGCCGAGCGCTAACACGGATGTGCTCTGGGGCATCCTGCACGGAATAGCGTTGTTTTTTTTTTAATTAAGATTTTATTTACTTATTTTTAGAGAGAGAGGAAGGGAGGGAAAAAAAGAGGGAGAAAAGCATCGATTGGTTGCCTCTTACATGTGCCCCAACCAGCGACTGCGCCTGCAACCTCGGCATGTGCTCTGACTGGGAATTAAACCTGTGACCTTTCACCTCACAGGACAATAAGCCACACCAGCCAGGCCAGAATAGTGGTTTTTTTTTTAAAGTTTGACATAAGAAACTTATTATGTTATAGATCGTTTTGAATCAAGCATTATGAGCTGTTCCCAAACCTCATTAGAGTGGGCTCATATAATTTTCCTGGAGGCTGCTCTTCGTTACAGTCTTTGTACGTGTGTGTCACAGTGTATCACAGCTCCTGCTTTAATGCCCTGCCTGTGATTGCTATGCAGTGAGTTGTATCCCGTGGACAGACTGACGGGCTTTCACACTGTATTAGGAAAGACACGTCGGCGGATGAGCTGCCATGACCAGGCAGTTTCACAGAGCCGTGTCTGGCGCCTGGGCACGGCGATCCCCGCATCTGTGCACGGCACCCCCACGCCACGGGCTTGTTCTGCCCTGTGCTCGGAGAGTTCTGTGTTCCGAGGGCCTGAGAGCATCGGTTTCTGGAGCAAAGCTTCTCATTTTACAGGCTGCTCTGATTGGTAGTGGGGGATCGTCAAATGCTTATCGAATGGGCAAACACATGCTTCCTTTTCTTAGATTCATTAAGTCCAATGGCTGGTCACCTAAGGCCTAGCAGAATGTGTACGAGGAGGCCATGGAGGCCTTTTAGGACGAAGGGCATGAATGCTCATGTGCACGTGTTGTTTCCTAGAAATAGTCTTCACCACGAGTGATTGAAGAAGGCGGCACTGCAGGGGCCACCAGGGAAGGGGGCGTGGGCAGCAGTCAGGAGTCAAGGGCACAGGACGGCTTGTCACACCAGACTCCCCCCTCTCGGTTTAAAGGAGAGGGAGACACAGCTTCCCTCGGAGAGTACGCTGTCCCTGCTCAGCCCAGTCAGAGGGATGGCACCGCCCTGTTCCCAGTGAGACTTTCCGTTGCCGCCACACACACACACACACACACACACACACACACACACAAGTACAAAAAGAGGCTTTGCCTTGCACACCCGGGGGAACTGTGAGATTCAGTGCTGGCTTTTTCATCGAGAACCTATGGGTAGACTCTGCCAATTTACGGCAGGAATAAGTCACAGCGGCTTTGATACTAATAAAAGGGCATTTCTTGAAAGCCTATTGCTTTCCATTTTTTATAACTAGACCAACTAAATGCTTATCTATTGAAAGTTGATTGTCCTTCTTTGAATTCTTACAGTTTTACACAAAGTGAGCACTACAAACATGTTATAAAACATCACTGTCATCTCATGAAATTTCATTTGACTCCAGTAACAAAGCACATGAAAATAATAGGATTTTTCCGTACCTCTCAGAGCAAATGGGAGAAGCATAGATCAACTGTGTGCATTTTAAGTCGTGAACTAGTCTCGGTTCAATGGAAGTGATGTTTCTCCCAACAGTCGACAACACTAGCGGTCCGTGGTGGGTCAGGCCACTGCAGGACACTCAGTGTGTGAACAGTGCATCTTGCCCCTGTCAGATTCACTATATCCAGTAGTTCTGAGACCGTACCATCCACGGATGTGTCAAAATGCTCAAATCGCACTGTGTCCTTCTTGTGAAGCGAGACACCCAGGTGGACGGAGATGCAAAGCGAATCCATCTTCTCCCTGTTTCCTAGTGAGCTGATCCAGTTTATTACCAGCGGTCCTATCATTGCCATGGAGATCTTGAGAGACGATGCTATATGTGAATGGAAGAGACTCCTCGGCACTGCCAACTCCGTGGTGGCGCGGGCGGACGCGCCCGGGAGCATCCGTGCCGTCTTCGGGACCGACGGCATCAGAAACGCAGCCCACGGCCCCGACTCCTTCGCTTGTGCAGCCAGGGTAAGGTTCTTACAGACACTGGGTTCTGCTTGGGCTCGAGAAGTGTTTGACATCACAGTGTGGCATTTCTGTCACCTCCCCCTCAGGCCGCCTCACACAGCCAGTCTCAGGGCCCCGTGCCTGGGACTGAACAGTGTTTCCGTGATCTGCCCCCTGACCAGCTGGTGACCTGCTCACAGCCACGATATTCCATTTGAAATACTTGTCTGGCTTCTTCTCCCAAAGACTAACATTACTGAGGCTCATCAGTATTTGAACTACTGAATTTATGTACAAACACCAGTTTATGGACTGTGAATGGTTAAAAAAAAAAGGCATTACTTGAAACAGTGTTTCCTTGACTCTTAACACTCTTTTCATATATATGTGTATCTGGTGTTTATGAAAACATCTTTCTACAATTGCCTCTTATCTTAAATCCACCCAAATAAGGTGTCACACGGGGTTCACACCGACGTGGAATCGCGAGGTGCAGGTTCGCGAGTGGCGTTGCAAGAGGCTTCCCAGCCCGCACACTGTGCCTTTCAGTCTGGTCGTGTTGGCAGTGAAATAGCACTAGCCAGCTTTGTAGTCACTGACTTTTCTTCTCCTCACAACCTGATGAGTACATTTCTTCGTCTCGCCTTTCCGATCAGCCCCGAATCGGATCACCGTAGCCTCCATCACCGTTCTGTTTGTACCGACAGCTACCGAAGCCCCCTATTCTCTTCTCCTGTCCGCTCACGCTCAGTTTATGAAAATTTACCTGGCCCAAGCAAATGAACTGTGCCCAGAATGATCATCCTGAAACCAATCGTATCAACGGTCCAACTACCGGAAACCCTCAGGGAAGGGCCGTGTCTTGTGGAACAGCCTCCAAAGCTCTGACGGGCCCCGCCCTTCCTGACCACTTCTGCTCGCACCGCTCTCCCCCGACACCCCCCCGCCCTGTGTCCCAGGCGTGCTGACCGCCTTCTGCTCCTAGAAGAGCGTGTTTCTGCCCGACTAGCTCAGTTTACAGCAGAGGCGACCACGTGGTGGGACGGGGGGGAGAGGGAGGAGGACTGAGGAGGTCGTGGCAGTGACTGTGTGGTTCCGCAGATCACGGCAGTGCAAGATGGTTGGCTGTTTCTCTGAGGAAGGTGGAGAGCCATTGCAGGGTTTTGATCGGAAGATGGGCATGCTTGGCTTGCCGTTTAGAGAAAGCGCTCCCTGTGCTGCGTTGAGAAAAGACTGTAGAGGGGCCGGAGCAGCAGCAGGCGGCCCAGGGCACAGGCTGCAGCTAAAGTCCAGGGAGGCGGTGGCGTGGGCCGGGGTGTTGCAGTAAGAGGGATACGAAGATACAGTTTTAAATGCACGTTAATGGTTGAAGGTCAAGTGATCAAGATTCCTGTCCAGATTGAATAAGAAGAGTATGAAAAAGGGAGAGAGATCAAGGATCACTCCAGAGCCCTCAGCCTGACCAGCAGAAAGGAGAGGATCCACGTGGACTGAGGCGAGGCAGGCTGTGGCTGGACTCGGTGCGCACGCGAAGTAGCGGTTCTGAGTTCGCACCACAAACTCAGCACACATGTGGGTGTCCACCTAGAGATGCTGAGCAAAAATCATGTCCCTGAGTTTGCAGTTTGGGGGAGAGGTCAGGGGGTCTTATATGTGGGGTCACTGGCACAGAGATGGTATTTGCAGACATGAGCCTGGGCAGGTGACCCAGGGCAGAGTGTCGCTAGAGCAGGAGAGGGAGCAGAGGGGTGGCCTGTGTGTCCCTGTAAAAGGTGAGAGAGGAGGAAGCAGCGAGGGAGGGAGAGAAGGAGCCACGCGCGAGGCAGAAGGGAAGAACTCGGAGGCGGTTGTGTCCCGGAGGCCAAGGGACGAACTTGTTCAAGGGGAGAGTGATCAGGGGCGTCCCCTGAGCAGAAGTCAGAGGAAAAGGGCACTGAGACTTGACCGTTTTGCACGTGGGAGTCAGTGGTGAGCTTGGTGACATGGTGTCCGTGGAAAGCTGCTCAGAGTGGATTTAAAAGAAAACTGGAGGCAGGAAGGGAGACGGTGGATGCAGAACACTCGGGAATTTTGCTGCAAAGCTGGGCAAACAAATGAGACAAGGAAAAGTGGTCAGAATGGGTTTTTTGAGAGGAAAAGAGTTGTAGGCATGCGTGACCACCTGCTCACTGCGAGAGCGGGGAGAGGTGTCCCTGAGACCGCGGGCGGGAGGGGGTGCTCCTCAGGGACTTTGGAACCTGAGGAAAACCTGCCACCAGTGGTCCCGCAGGCGTTGTTGACGGCGTAGAAACAAAACAAAGTCCCAGCCTACGTGGCGCTTTCCTCTCTGGGGTGGGGGAGGCGTCAGGTGATAACTGGACACAGGACACGGCAGGCGGTGCGTGCTGCGGAGAAGACGGAGGAGGGAAGGGGCCAGAGAGAACGATGGGGCGGGGTGGGCTGTGGGCCGAGTGGAGGTGCCTGGGAAACGCTACGAGCGTCGGGCAGCCAGGAAGCCCCCGCAGTCCTTGCTTTGGGTGAGACGAGAGGGGAGGGAGGGAGAAGGCCAGGCAGGTGTCTGGGGAAGAGGGTTTGGGGAGAAGAGGAATGATTCGTGCAAAGATTCCGAGGTGAGAGCATATTGGTCCTGATCAGGGGACAGTGAGGCCAGGGCAGAGGTGTGTTCCGTGGACGCGGGAGGAGAATCTGGAGGGAGAGCCCGGGGCCAGAGCGGCTCGGGCCTTGTGGGGCGTCTGGGGCTTTAAACCAAGGAGACGGGGCCACTGCAGGGTCCTGAGCAGAGTGATACCATCCGAGTGGACAGGTTTCATTCCGACTGCCGTGTGCGGGTAGATCCGGCAGGGCAGGGGTGTCGGGGGGAGAGCTGGACTGGGAGGCCGTTCAGGCGGTTAGCTCAGTTGTCAAAGGGAGAGTTGGGGGGGGGGGACCAGGGAGGCAGATGTGGGGGTGGCTGGATTCTAAGTGAGTTTTCAGGGATTTCCTGACAGATCGGGTGGGTGGATAAGAGAAAGGCACCAGGGATCACTCTAAGTTTTTGTTTCTTAAATTGTTTTGAGGGCAGTTGGAAGAATGGGGAAAACCAGGGTGGAAGTGAGAAGATGTACAGGAGCTGATGGAAATCAGGAATCCTGGTTTGCATGTTTTAAATGTGAATCGTTTCCAAGTGTTAGTGACACAGGTCCGGCTGTGGAGTCCGGGAGGAGGCACACAGATGACGTCAAAGGCCGCGGGGCTGAGGTGCTGTCTAGGCGAGGGGCCGCGGATGGGAGGTGGCAGGGCCCCGGGGCTCTCCAGCACTCAGGGTCAGGCCTAGAGGGGACCCCATCCGAGGGGACCGAGAAGGAGCCCCCAGAGAGGGCGGGAAAGCCACGTGGCGAGAGCATTCCAGGAGGCAGGCCGCGGTCGGCAAGGTCCGGTCAGGTCGGGTGAGGCCGAGAGTTACCCCGGGGCCCCTGGCAGCGCCGAGGTGGTTAGGGATGCTGATAATGGGCAGCTTCGGTGGAACGAAAAGCCGAACGCTGACCGGGTTGTGAGTTTAAGCAGGAACGGGGGGAGGAAGTAAAGACAGGGAGTGAAGACCTCTCTGGGGGAGCTGGGTTGTCAAGGAGGCGGACAGTGGGAGCTCTGCAGGGTGTGCCGCCCTCCCGCTTCTGTCACAGAAGGGTGTCACCCACGCGCCGTTCACTCATTGATTACCTGGCGGGACCCAGCAGGTGTCCGAGTGTTTACCTGTGCCGGCAGGTTCTCTGAGAACATGTCATCGAAGCATCTGGTGCAGGACTGGAAGCCGTATTTCTTACTGTTTTTGATCAAGAAGAAGAATAAAAACAGCAGTATGACAGAAAAGTCCTTGGTGTCTAAGGAATAGAACATTGTATTCCAAAACGTCTTAGCACTGAAATAGCTCAATGTATATGCTACTCTTAGAAAAACTCTTCATCTTCCCTAGTGGTTTATCTTAAAAATGTAGGTCAGTGTGGTACATTTGAAAATGGTACATTTTTGAGTTTTTAGACCGAATGGGAGATGGGCATTTACTTCGGGCCATTTGGTTTAGGTGCCAGGGGACCTGCAAAGCTATGCGAGTCGGTCCCTGTCCTCAAATTTGTGATTTGTGGAAGACACCCACCCAAATCACCATGGCGGTGCCAGCTGGGGCCATCAGGAAGGGCCTCCAGGAGGAGGTGAGGTCTGGAGCGGTCCTTTACACGTCGCTAGGGTCCTTTGAAGCTTGGGACCGAGGGCTCTGTAAGGAATAGAAATGATAGCACTACAGGCTTAGAGATGGGGAAGTGTCTGTTGAAACAAGTAGGAGAACCGAGGGGGGTGGCCGTCTTTGTGACCACTTCTCATCGCTGGGCCGTTGTTTTGGCGAACTGCGGCTAGTGAAACAGCACGGCCTGAGCCCCGCCGCCGAGTTGGGTCCAGTCGGTGTGGGTTTAGCACAGGACTGCAGTGAGCGAATCGGTTTTGACCAACCGCGGTTCTGTAAGGTCTCTCAGGTTTGGGTTTTATTTTACATATTTCGATAAAACGTTGAAACCAGACTTGTGTTTCATGACTTAATGCTTTGGGGAAAATAAGAACCTTGTATCAATTACTTCCAATATTCAAAATACGTTACGACATTATTAGTTTTAATCGTGGGTCAGAACGATACATATTCTCATTGCACCCAGTGATACTTCTTTGTTCTTTTGATTCTACGACTTTCAGCAGGATTTAGTTCATTACTTCTAATCAGTTAAAATCATTTTTAGAAAATTCAAAGTGAAGAGTTTATATTACCAAATTTTAAGAGTAAATGCACAGTTCTTCCTCTCTCACAAGTGCATGGTGGGAGTGCAGGAGAAGAGATCACATGCTGACGTCACTTCTCCCCGCTTGTAGGAGACGGAGCTCTTCTTCCCTTCCAGTGGAGTTTGCGGACCCGCGGGCACGGCCAGGTTCTCCAACTGCACCTGCTGCGTCATCAAGCCCCACGCCATCAGCGAAGGTGAGTGTGTGTTGGGCACCACATGCCCGATTATTTTATTCATAAGAATTTCTTTGGCTAACGTCTGTTTTCTTGATGTATTTTATATGTAGGAAGTAGAGTATAACTGTAGTATTGCATTCATTGTTTTCAAAGGCACACGGAGGTGACAGAATATGAGGGACAAATCTGGTTACATCGACACGTACCTCTATCTTTGCATCTGTGCGTTTTGGGAGGTGCTCACTCACGGCCGGGCTCACCCTGCACAGGCCTGGGCTGCCCTTGTGGCCCCCGGCTCCTCCCCTCCGGCCACAGGCCGTGTTCACTGCACTCACTCAGGCCGAGTGGCTGGTGCGCAGCCCAGCACAGCATCTGCCCGGTCTGCGGTCTGCCCCTCCCAGGGAAGCGGAGGGGGCTTCTGCTCTCAGTGTTGGAAACGAAGTTTGTTAACTAATATATACGTGGTATTAAACACATAGACACATATGTATGTGACAGCAGATAGATGTGTATATGTGAACGTATACTGAGAGTTTGCAAGGTTTTTATATTCTTTTTTTTTTGTCAGTTTATTTTAGTCTGTTGTATGTGTTTTTGTCAGCTGCCCCAAATCCTTTCGGAAGTGAGATGGCGTAGAGTTTAAAACTCATCCTTAAAACATTAGAATATACTAAATAATATGCATGATTGAATGGATTAAACCTTTTCTTCTAAGCATTAAAGTAATTCAGGCGTACAGTAGAAAAATAACAGAAATGAAACAAGCAGTAAAAGTTACCTGTTTTTCATCATCCCGAGGTGGTCATTGTTGATATTTTGGTATTTCTGTAAATCATTTCATTCTGCATGTGTGTGTACATGCGTGTAACAGACACACAGATGTCATTGTTCACATGGTCGAGATGCGGGTCTCCAGGCTGCGGGTCTAACTTAATGTGGGGACCATGTTTGGCTGCTCTTAATTCCTCACGAACATTCCAGTAGTTGTACGCTGTGCAACTGCACAGATGTAACATAATGTTTGGATGCTTAGAAAGTTTCAAGTTGTTTGATGTTAAAAAGAAAGCTTTGAAGAATATTTTTATACTCCATAAATATTTGACACTATGTCCAATCCTTTCCTCTGGCTAGTTAACCTAGTAGTAGTTATTGGTTGAAAGGAAAAAATCTTGCTGCATAATTAATACTCCTTTAATTATTTAGGAAGTATTTGAATATCTTTTAGCTCTTTGGGACCATAATTGCAGGTAAAGCAACATGTAACAACAGCATGATGGGTAACTAACCTTTACGGAGCATTCGCCACTGTGTGCCAGGCAGTAGACAAGTACCTATACATTATCTCTTTTAATCTCAGCACATTTATTAAGAAGCAAATTATTTAACAGAATATTGGCCAGTGTGTAAATGTAATGCCAGCATTGTCTCGATATGCTGATTGAAACAGGACTGTTGTCAGCAAAATTATATTTATCAAGTTCCCCACTTTTAAAAACCAGGCTGTTCTTACTCAGCACCTCTTCCTGAGTTTTGGTTTGCTCCCCAAATGGCCATCGGGATGCTAGGCAGGCTGGCAGGGTGGCAGAGAGGTGCTGTCCCATGGAAGCCCCGAGTTTGGGCTGATCGAATCGGTTACGTCCCAGCTTTCTCTGTAGTTGATTTTCTTCAGGTAATTCAGCTTCTGGGATACTGTGGAAGAGGTGTGAACCTTTTGGCATAAAGAGATTGGATTTAAACATGGTAAATATAACTCAGTCTCAATAAAAATTATTGGAGTTGGCCCAGCTCTGCTTAGCATGTCACAGTTTTGGAGTTTCATGGTGGTTTTATTTTCTATCTGAAATAGTAAACAGTAAAGGAATTCGTAGCAGATGCACCAGGTGCATTGAACTGCATGTAACACCCTGACTTTGGATGCACAGAGCTTAGCGTGCATTTCTTTTTTTTTTTTTTAAGATTTTATTTATTTATTTTTAGAGAGAGGGGAAGAAAGGGAGAGAAACACCAGTGTGTGGTCACCTCTTGTGCGTCCCGCACCAGGGAACCTGACCCACACCCAGGCAAGTGCCCTGTCTGGGAATCACACCGATGACCCTTTGGTTTGCAGGCTGGTACTCCATTCATGGAGCCACACCAGCCAGGGTGCAGCATTTCTGAAACACAATTTATAGGCCTTGAAAATAACCTATGAATGTGTAAGTGATGGGAACTTGAACTTAATGATTTAGAAATTAATAGGGAACCTCAGGAGTTCTGCTAGTCCCTACAGAAGAATCTGAAAACCAGAGATTCTTCTGTAAATGAAGTTTTATTGGAACACAGCCTGCTGTTTATTTACATACTGTCTGTGGCTGCTTTTATGCTCCAGCAGCTGGGCTGAGCGATTGCAATGGATAACAGTGTGGCCTGCAAAGCCTAAAGTGTCAGCTCTCTGACCCTTTACAGAAAGTTTACTGTCACGGAGTTTCTTTTCAATTGATCCTACCTAAATTTTAGCGTGTGTACCTAACTGTAAATTCTGTTAACACAGTTTAAACTTGTTCACGCTCTCCAGATTTTTTCTAAGACAAAGAATTTAAAATGCTTTAACAGCCACTGAAATCTCCTCCCATCTTCCCAGTTATTGATGTGAAACCATCTTCCCAGTTACTGATGTGAGAATGTTTATTCCCCTTTCTCTTAAACTGTTTAGTTTAGTTTATTGATGCATAATTTACGTAACATACATGCACACACTTGAAGAGTGCGTTTCTGATGCCGCGTTATCGTGTCTCAAGCTCTCGGCTCAGGCACCGAGCCCTTCTTGAGCAAGCCGAGCCTTCTCGATGTCTGCTTGGGGGAGGGAGCGGATGTTGCAGAGCAAAAGGAGGACTGATCAGACTCCGTCCAGGCTCCACTGCGTGCCTTTCTCATCAGAGGTTCTCTGTCCACCACATGTGACAAATCAATGCAGAGTCACCCTGTCTTTTTTATCTTTGGAAGTCAGGGCTTGCTCTTCACACCTGAGTGGGATGAAGAAGCATCTGTTGCTAGGCAGCCGTGGCACTAGCACCTAGCAACTGCGCTGTGTGCCACGGGAACCTAGTGATGGGTATTACTGGCGAGGGACCTGGACAAGCTGCCTGAGTTAGAGAAAACACATCTGGATACAAAGGAATGGCCGACCGTTTGGTGAAGGTCCCGGGCCAGGGTGCATGCAGGACAGAATGTTCAGAATGACATTGCCCTTCTGTGGCTTGGCACTTGCTGGCTGGGACCTCGGAGGGGTTTCTGGGCCTCTCCAAAGCCGCATTCTTTTCTTCTGCAAAATGAAGGTGACAAAACTGGCTTCATAAGCAAGTGAGTACACATGGTGCACTCAGAATCGGCACTAGTTTGCACAGTGAGTGCTCAAGACATTGTTAGCTGTTAACATTGTAGGTGTAGAGGTTGTTTCACATGATGCATTTTTTAAAACCCCGATTCAGCAGCGTTGCAGTTATCTGTTGCTTTATTAAAAATCATGCTAAAACCCAGTTGCTTAAAAAACGATTTACTACTGATGTTTCTCACAGTTCTTTGGATTACTGGGGCTCACCTGGGGACACATGTGTGACTTCTGAGACAGGCGTCTGGAAAGTCAGAATGCAGCTTTGAACTTTCATACCTTTAGAAATATAACTATCACAAACTTAAAAATACCGCTTGCAAGCGTAATTATTTAAATTTCTTCTAGATTCCATTTTTCTTATGCTTTGAAAAATACTTTGTTTTGGTAAGCATTTTAAAAAGACACTTACATAATAAAACTTTCAAGTAACATTTTATTACGTACTTGTAGCGTGTACCGTCTGAGTTACTACAGCCCGCACTGAGACCTCGGGGACGTCCTGTATGTATGTGACACTTAAGAGACTGTATTTATTGGAAGGAGTATTATTTCACTTGAAAATAAGTTGGAAACTTCACTTCTTTCTGCCCTAGGACCTAGTAGTCGCCGTTCAGGGGGTGATGTTACTGGCACATGCCTTTGAGATGTAGGCCTTTAACCACTTGGACCCAGGCGGGCCCAGATATTGGTCAGTGCCTGTTTCTACACGGAGCAGTTGTGAGGGTGCACCGCTCCCCTCGCCTGTGTTTCATCAGTCACGTGTCTGTCGAGGACCGAGATCTAGGCTGGTGGGAACAGATCGGAAAGAGTTTGTAGGGAAGGAAGCGCGGAAGTGCTGGCCTCCGTGTCTCCTGCTGAGCCCTCCTCCGCAGAGATGCACAGTGACGGAAGGAGGGCCCGTGTTTCTTCCCAGCGACCAAGGTTCTGCGCTTTGGGGCTTATGGTGTCGCTTTAGCGGGTTTTAAAAATGAAAAGCTGCGGGAGCACGACCTTGCGCTGTACCACTCTAAAAGATGATTCAAGTCTCACAGTGAGTTATAAATGCTGAACGCTGACAGTGTAATTGTAACATCCTTATGAGGATGAAGAACAGCACATCTGAGAAAAATGGCGCCTTACTAAAGGTCCCCAAAAAGCTTGTGTTTCCAAGTGACACATGAAAAGCCGGGAGGAGTCGGCACTTGAGGAAAAGGCTGAAGGGACGTACGTGATGGTCGCCGTGGCTGCTTCTTGGGTGGGCTCTCTGCTCACACCTCTCCGCTCTCCTCCACCGCCACTCGCCTTCTGTCTCTGCAAGGCCTGTGTTCCGAGCTCCCGCTCGTCTCGGTGGCTAGTTCCTTTGCAGTCCATCACGAGTTCCCGCCTAACGGCCTCTCTGCCACATGATCACACTGCAGCCCGTGTCCGAGCAAAGTGGACGCCGCTTCCCTTCCCAGTCCTCTCTGCAGGGCTGGTGTCCTGGCGACTCTTACAGAACAGGTATCAACGGGTCAGCTTGCCGTGCCTCCTCGATTTTGTGTCTCAGTCACAGTTTGTGTCCGAGCGTATTTCGTATTAGTCTCAGGCGTGTGCATGGTGTCTAGACAGTCACATACTTTGCACGGTGATTCCCCACATCGCCCCTCGGAGAAGGACAGACTCTGGGTCT